GTACCCTGGCTTCTGGGTTGGGTTGGGTGGGGGATACAGAAGACAGTTCCTTGACTGTGGAGCACCTTATTCTTATTTTCTCTTGCTCTTTGACCAGCTGAGTGTACCAGCTGCTTTAACTTCACTGTTATAGCCGAAGGATCTAGAATAATGACCAACACGTAGTAGGTTCTCAATCAATGTTTGGGAATGTAATGACAAAAATAGTCAGTAGCTATCTATTTGAAGAAATTTATTCTAACCCCTTTTTCACCAGGCAGTTCTGCTCGTCTTGATTTTTGTCCTCAGAAAGAGAATAAAGTTGACAGTTGAGCTCTTTCAAGTCACAAACAAAGCAGTCAGCAGCTCTCCTTTCCTGCTGCTCCAGCCTGTGTGGACGTTTGGCGCCCTCATTTTCTTCTGGGTCCTCTGGGTGGCTGTGCTGCTGAGCCTGGGAACTGCAGGTAAGGGACATGGGAGTGGGCTCCACCCCGCTGGAGTCACACACAGATGTCACCATTTTGGAGCCACTGGCCTACTTGTGGGACACCACACCTCTCCTGCACTGGGTCTGCCAGGTGACAGTGTTGGTAGCACTGCCATGGAGGACAGCAGGCGACTCTCCCTTCTTGTATGTGAGCACTGAGAATGCTGGGTGTGTACTTCATAAATAAGACATTAAGTAAGGACTGAAAGCTTTAGGAAAAAAGCAAACTGCAGTATGAACCAAGGTAGATAGAATACTATCAAATATCTTCAGGTTTAAATTTTATCCAAGGTACTTTGCCAACCCATTATTAAATGAATAGGTGATAAAGATCCCAGGGAAGACTTAAAAGTTTGTTGTGCCCCATAGGACCAGCATAAATTTAAGTGCATATAGAAGTTCACAGTGTTTTGGGTTTGAAAAGAAAATTCAGAATTCTCCATCTTCCAAATGCCAGGACTAGTCCTCAGAATCACCCACGGTGTTTCATTACAGTATAGATCTATGGACTGAATCATGGATTTATTTGATTTGGAGTAGGGCGGTGTGTGTGTGTGTGTGTGTGTGTGTGTGTGTGTGTGTGTTCACAAATGCCCCATGATAGGGCCAGCGAGATAGCTTATCGAACTAAGTGTCTGCTTAGACACTCACAGGGACTAGGGTTCGATCCCCGACACCACATGCTGCGCTGACCCCACCCCCTGACACACTGAGCCAGCCACAGAGTCTGGGCGTGGTGGCGCACACCTGTAATCCCAGTGCCAAGGAGGCTGCAAACAGGAGGATCACTACAAATCTGAGCTCCGTAGTGAGACCCTGTACCAAATACATTAAAAAAAAAAAAAAAAAAGATGCCCCACGATAGGGCAACCATATTCTTTGAGTAAAGTAGTTCAGAGTGCTGTCAGGAACCAGAGGAGTTTGTGCCCAGAACATTCGTCTCTCGCTGCTTCCCTCACGGCGAAGCCAAAAACCACTGAAAGCATGATGCTTACAGGAGGGCGGCTGCTCTGCATCCTGGCCTGAGCTCCTCAGCCCATGCTGAGGAGGAAGAAATAACGTGAGGACAGGCGCTGCCTTTGAGTGGCACTGTTCTGGGTCTTCTCTAACTCCTGTTTTAGGTGGTGACAGCCAAGATTCACAAGACAGTTGCTTTCTGTAGCCATCACAAGGAGTTAAGAACCACAGCAGATGTCAGATGAATGAAATGGATGTAGTTCCTTAATGTTTTATTGAGCTCCGTTGGTCCCTTCTGACTCGTCACGTGAGCCAATGTGTGTGCCTTTGCGTAAGAGCCCGTGTGAATATGCTCTTGTGTGTAACAGCAACAGCCACACAGTAGATTCATAGTGAACTTGCTGCCTGCCTTCCCCGGGGAGTTAGCTAAACCCTCAGAATCAAGATGGTCATAGCCTGCTGCAAGTCACAGCCCTTAGAAGCCTGTACTTCTGGCCTCTTCAGATGGAGTCTCTGGCAGCTTTCTGAAGGCCAACAGTAAATTACAGGCAATTGTTCAGAGAGAAACCATGGCCAGACAGAGAGACTAAAATTAATCAATGTGAGATATGCCTAGAGTGTAAGGCAAGCTCAAAGCAACAGACGCTTAGACCAGATATGAAGTACCACTTCTCACACATACATGAAGTCCATGAGAGGGACAAAGACCATGCCAGCCTCATCACCTGGCAGTCAAGGACCCACGTGCCTCCTTGTTCCACAAACTGTACCACTTGCTTCCACTGAAATGGCTATTTGGGCTGCATTATTCCACTGTTTAAAAGGTGGCAAGGAGGAAGATGAGCGCAGCCCCTCCCAGAAGTCACGGGCAGCACTTAGCCACCTGCATCCCTGGCCAAATCCTAGGTACCTAGTAACCTCCATCCACAATGGGGGATGCAGTTTCATTTTTGTTGTCTATGTGCATTGAAAACGTTCTATGGGCTAGCCAGATAGCTCAGCGGATTAAAGTGCCTGCTTAGGCAGACACAGGGACTGGGGTTTGACCCCAGCATGCCATGCCGGCCCCGCCTCTGGGGCACACTGAGACATCAATTGAGACTGGGCATGGTGGCACGCACCTGTAATCCCAGTACTTGGGAGGAAAGCAGAAGGATCACTACAAGTCCCATCTACATAGTAAGACCCTGTAGACCCTGTACTAAATACATTAAAAAAAAAAAAAAAGAAAGAAAGAAAGAAAACTTAGAAGTTCTATTACTAACTGCAACAGCAAGCAGAAACACCTGAATGTCCCCTAGGGTTTGGCAGCAGATGTATTTTAAATGAACAGGCAGATTGTGATAATTCCCAAAGTATCAGGCCCTGATTGCTGGTGGTCAAGAGCTTCCATGGGATAAGCAAGCAGAAAGTGCAGAGGCAGAACGGCTTGTCAACTGGAGACTGGCGCTTACACTAGCATCACAGTGGCCAGCGCTTTCTAAGGAACAAAGGTAACAGGAGCTGGAAGCGGTCCTATTACCTGGGCAGCTGACAGACTGAAGCGCACTGGCTGGGAGGGAGGCAGATCTTCTGCCACACAGCTACAGGAGCTCAGCACGCCGAGAGCCAGTGGGAGGGCTCCCCCAAACCGGAGCAACAGTCTTCCTCTAGCTCACTGACTCGAAGGGGTCTCCGTCCTGGTGAGAAGGAGGGCACAGGCTTTGTATATGAAGGGAAACAAAGGTAAATTGGAAATGTCCTAGATGCTGAGCTCTGTACCGAATGCCTTCTTGTGGTCTATGCTGTTAGCATCACAGTCTCCTTTATGTGCTATTCAGAAGGGACAGAGAAGAAAACAGGTTCTGAGTAAGCCATTTGCTGAAGGCCAGACAGCAAGGAAGTTCTGCCCCTTTTCTTTTTGAGACTGGGTCTAACTGTGTAGCTCAGTCTGACTTTCAACTTAATGTACATAAACCTAGGCTGGCCTCAACCTCACGGCAGCCCTCCTGCCTCAGCCTCGCAAGCGCTGGGATTACAGCTGTGCTCCAGCGCACCTGGTGCCGGGGCTCTCGACCCGCAGAGCTCCAGCATAGAAGCAGCCCCCTTCTCACCAACTCACTTCTCAGACAAAGCACTGGCCCGCTTTGGGAGTGGGTAGTCTGGAAATTGCCAGAAGACTGGCAAATACAGAAAAAGGAAAAAGAACCAAAAAATATTTAAGTGGGGGGTCAAGGCAACGTCAAGGGAGGACCTGGTCACAGGAGAGCAGGAGAAGGGCACAGTCCTGAGAGCTGAGACGTTGTCACAGGAGCAGCCCTGAGTCTAGCGCGAAGGTGAGCTCCCTTTGCGTTTGGTACACAGGGCCAGAAAATGCAAATTACACTGCTTCCTGTCTGTTCATTCAGGATGAAGCTGCTGGTTGACATCCACAGAGTGGCATCTGGGGCCTGTGACTGCGGGACGAGAGGTTGACAGCCAAGGAGAGTTGAGGGGGGGATTGGGGGAATGCCCAATAGGCGGTGGCCCTGGAGTACCCGAGTCCCTGCCCTAGAGAAATGCCGGAGGCACAGCGGCTTTGGACAGCACAGCCCAGGGTCAGTGAGGGAGCTTCCCCGGGCCCTCCTAAGAGCACAGCCCCAGAGGCTGTGGGGCTGGGTGAAGGGAGCTACGTCTGTGGCCACACCCAGGTGCCCTGGGGCACACATCCACAGTCTTTGGTTCACAAATACCTAATGGACACTATGGGGCAAGACACTGGCCAAGGCCTAAGACCTGAGGAAAAGCGAGGACCCAGGCCCAGGTGTCTGCCCGCAGGGCTCGGAGTCAAGCAGGATGGGCTGAAAAACATGATCACAGATGAGGTGCTTGGCCACGATGAGAGGAGAAACAGAACAAGGCCCTGTCTCACGTGAGAGTCAGGGAGCTTCTCAGAGAACAGGCTAGACTTTGCCAGAAGACTAGAAATGGGGAAAGAGGCAAAAGAAGGTTTTTACTGAAGCATCCAACAATATCAGATGCCCAGTCCAAAGAGATGGGGGATAAAACAGAAAAAACAAGACCTGTGCCTGCTTAGGGGTAAGCTACAGTGCAGTACATTTAACTTCCTCCTGCTTGGCCCAAGTGAGGCCTGCACCCACAGGCCTTGGAGAGTCTCGGCCGCCGGAACTGAGAGCAGGAGGGCGGGGAGGTAGGTGGCTGCTCCTCAGGACTGGCAGAGGTTTGTCGCTCTGAGAGTGAAGTGTGAGAGTTCTCTGCCAATGGGAGGAGAATAAGGTGCAAGAGAGAGGAATAGAGAGGCAGGGTGAGTCAGCTTTTCTGTGCTATGAACAGCTGAGACAAAACCACTTACAAGGGGAAGGTTCATCTTGGGTCACAGTTTTGGAGGTTTTAGTCAGTGATCAGTTGGGCCCATTTCTCAGGCCCTGATCAGTTGGGCCCATTTCTCAGGCCCTGTGGTGAGAGCCCAGTATGTTGTGGCCGCATGGTGGGAGGCCACAGTGGAGCAGGCCCACTCATCTCGTGACAAGATGGGAAAAAAGAAATAGAGACTAGCGTCCCACAGTCATCTTCAAGGTTACCCCGGGGACCTAAGATACTTTCTAGACCCAGCTTCTAAGGTTCTGTGAGGGCCTATGGGGGGCCTTTCCCACGTGGGCCTTGGGAGGCTGCCGCAGGTCCAGAGCAGGCAGGCCCAGGGCAGAGTGCGTGTGTGTGCAAGCTGATTTCAGGAGAGAAGGCGCTGCACACACAGAGCCACTGGCCTCCTCCCTGTCCCCATCGTGGACACCAGACAGGGCCGCTCCCTCAGGACACCTGGCTGCTTTCAGCACACCTGGCTGGCCGAGTGAACAGATTCCCTTTTGTCCTGGAGACCTTCTTCTCCAGTGCCAAAGTCACCTCGCTCTGGGCCTGGGCAGGGAAGTGGCTGCTTTGCTGTTTGATGATCTTTGAGTTATGAGAAACCGAGCTGTTTGCACATTTTATAAAATGCCACCCACCAAACCACCTGGGGCACTCTCTGAGTGGTGTCTCCTTCAG